AGTTTTCTGAATACAAAAATCAGCTGCATTTCTAACATCAGCAACAAATTTTCAATGTCCTATTTATAACAGCATCAAAAACATACAGCTAGAATTAAAAAAAAACACACACCTAGGAACAATTTAATAAAAGATGCAAAAACCACTACACAGAGAAGTTGATTATGTAAATAAGTGAAAGATGTACCATGTTCATGGATTTTAAGATTCAATACTGTAAAAATATCAATTCTCTCCAAAATAACTGTTAGATTAAAGGCAATCCCAATCAATAGGTCAGCAAGTGATTTTTGTTTTTGTTTTTGTAGAAACTGACACGTTGATTCTAAATTTATGTAGAAATGCACAGGGTCATGATGCAAGAGCCTTCAGAAGAGGAATGAGAGAAATGATAGCGTTGGGTGACTTATTCTACTAGATATCAAAACATAAAGACTGTACAGCATAGGGAAGAGAAAAAGATGGGCACAGGCAGAAAAACAGAGCAGCGGAACAGGTCAGAATCTAGAAGTGGATCCGCGTACACGTGGGCATTTAAATTGCAACTGTGTGATTAATATAGAACTCAAGTATAGAAATCAAATGTATAATCATATATGACTTGATTATTTTCCTGTAATTCCTGATAAGTGATCAAGACCAAAACAGTTTCTGTGACCTAATTGCCTTTGCTATTGTTTCAATATCATGTAAGACATGGTGCCCCAAGAGACCGGAGACTGCTGAGGATTAAGTTCCGAGTTAGGTAATGTTGTCTATTAAGTCCCCCACACAGAATTCTATTGTTGTGAACACGTATGTGCTCAATAAATACGAAGGGCCCCCTCTCAGCACCACTCCGGCGGTGTTAAGCCTCGAGTCCCCTGGCTGGTCCTTTCAGGTCTTCAGTATCTCATCATGTCTCCCCCCTTATCTGCGGGTCGGAAGCAGGGAGGGACCGACATGCAACAAAGCCGATACTGTGAGCAATAGGGAAAGGGTGACCCATTCTTTCGGTGAATGTTACAGAATCAAACGGATATTACATGGAAAAATATTAAGACTGATCTTGACCTCACACCATGTAAAACAAAGTTTTTTTCAGGTGAGGATCCAAATGTGAAAGGAAAAATAATGAAGTTCCTAGAAAGGAGGATTGGAGAGGATCATCACGGCCCTCGGCAGGCACGGATTTCCTAAACAGCACAGAAAAGACACTAACCGTAAGTGAAATGACTGAAAGAGAATGAAATGGGGGACGCTTACTTATAGCAACATATATCAGAAAGCTTGCATCTAGAACATATAAAGAATTTGTATACGTCAGTAAGAAAAAGATAGAGAACCTAATAGAAAAGTCAAGAAACTTGCACAGACACTTCACAGAAAAGGATGTACAAACGGCCAATGAACTCATACTTTTAACTCATTAGTAATCAGGAAAATGCAAATTAAAACTACAATGAAATGCTACTTCACACCCACTGAAATGGGTCATTAAAGAGAGTGGCAACAGCAGGTGTCAGTGAGGATGTGTAACTCCAGGAACAAAAGCTCCCCTGCTGTGGTAGGAGTATTAACTGAAACATCACTTTCTACAATTGGTCAAATTGCTAAGACCGAACATACACGTACTTGATATATGTGCACCAAAAGACTAATACAAGAATGTCTAGAGCAGCATTACGCATAGTGGCTCCAAACTGGAAACCCAAACGTCCAGTGGTAGAATGGTTAAGTTGCGATATATCCTACAGTTTAAGAGAATACACAACGAAAATGAAAGACCCCTGTTACCTGCAACAGCACGGCTGAATCTCACAAGTAAAATGGTGAGTGAAGGAACCCACACATAAAAGAAAGCATATTCTGTTCCCATTGATATGAGGTTCAGAAACAGGGAAAACTATATGTGGTGCTAATAATCAGGAAAGAGGAGAGGGAAGGAGTAGTGATTGAGAGTGGGTATGAGAGGGGCTTTGTGACGTTGAAAATGATTTATTGATTTGGTCTGGGTGGGAGTTACATGGAATGGTTGTGCTTATGACACCTGTTTTTCTGCACATTCTCTAATTTTAAAAAGGCCATTAAAGAGAGTTTATATGACACAGAATGCATGCAATACATAATGACAAAAAGCATGCAAAAAGCACATATGTGATGATCCCACTTGCGTAAAACAGCTCCGCAAGTCTGTATGTGTTTGTACACACGATAGGAATATTAACAATCGGGACTATGAGATGGAGACTGGGATAGCCAGGACCAGGGAATTTTACTTTTTACTTAACAGTGATCCATACTTAAAATGTTTTTGAAACCAGGAGAGGTAATACTTGCAGCACATTACAAATTCCAACAAGTATATATTCAAAAGTTAGTTTTCCTCCTATCTCGGTAAGCACCAGTTTCTAATACACCCTGTCCGAATTATTCTATGTACATTAAAAGATTAAAGAAACAAGCAGCACAGAGGACACTAAACATACAGTTCCTGCACCTTTATCTTTTTATGTATTTTTGAGATCATTCACATCAGTGCCTATTAAGCTACCTTATTCTTTTTAATAGTTTCATAGTATTTCAACTTATGGAAATACTGTTAGCTATTCAACCAGCTATTTAACTGTACCCTTGAAAAGGTACAGTTACATTATTTCCAAGCTTCTGCTATTTAAATAATTCTATAATCTACATCCTTTTATATGACTTCGATTATACGTGTAGCTAAAAGTAAGCCTGCTGGATCAAAGGGCAGGTACATCTCTAATGTTGGTAATTACCGTCACACTGCCCTCTAGAAAGCTATACCAACTGACACGTTCACGAGCAATACACGAGAAGCCTGTTTTTGCAAATAGTTCTACAGTTTCTATTTTACATTTAAATGTTTAGTTCACTTGGAATTATGTTTCTCAGTAATTGAAAAGCCGCTCAAACTACCTCAGAAGAGACACAAATACTGTTCCTCACATGTCAAACTGGTAAAACCCAAAGCTATGACAACCTAATCTGTTGGTGAGACGGTGGAGAAACGGGCCCTCCCGTACACTGCTGGTGAGAATGCTAAATGATCCATACGCTAAGGCGGGAAATTTAACGACTTCTAGCAAAATTGTAACCTTTGACCTGGGACTCATATCTTCTAGGATCTTATCCCAGAAGTATAATACCAAAGTGTGAAGTGACACATGAACTAAAGTATTATTTGTGGCACCATGTGTAATAGCAGAAACAACAGAATGTTTATCAAGGCAGTTGGAGTAACTATGCAGTTGTAAAAAAAAAAAGAATTTCTATATACTGCCATTCACTCTAGTATATAGTGAGTGGAAAAGGGCTCTAAGAGACGTCCGCGGTCCCCGTCGGAGGGGAGGTGCACGCGGCCGCCGCCCCAGCCCGTGTGCTCCGCGCCTGCGGCGGCTGCGGCCTCAGGGACAGCGCGCCCTCGGTTCCCGCGGGGGAAGCCTGACACCTGGAGGCCGTCAGGGGGCGCCGGCCGCGCGGTCCTGGAGAACCCGGGGAGACGGCGCTGTCAGGCCGGCGACCTGCCGCCTGGGGGCCCCGCCCCCGCCCCCGCCCCGAGAACCCTCGCTCCGCCCAGGCCGGGCCGTCTGCCTGGGTTCAGGCGCCGTGCCCCTTGCCCTGGGTGCTCCATGCTCGGCGGCGACGCGGACGCCGGGCTGGGCTTGCGGGCGGGCTCGCACCCCGGCCGCCCGTCCCCGGGTCGCGGCTCCCCAGCCGGGAGATCGCAGCTTTGCAGAATGAATCATCAGAGGCGTCTTCCAAACACAAAACAGTTGGATGATCCAGTGACCCAGAATGAACGACAGGCCTGTGCTGACAGGCAGCGGTGAAAGGCTATGGTCGTCTGTGGGGACAGGACCCTGAACACCCAAGCCTGCCTTCACATGAAGAGTGCGGGCATGGGTATGGGGGCAGAGGGCTCAAGCTGGCACTGTAATGGCAGTGGGGACTGACCGAGGGCGAACAGACCTTGCAGAGGGAGGCAGCTCCCTGGGGACGCGGCCATGCCAGCACCCTCCCACTGATGCCGAGGTTCTTGTTTGCGGAGTCGAAGAATAAACTTAGCAGTCAAGGTAGGAGAGCCAGGAAGACTTTATTGAGAGATACAGTGAGAGGACAGAGATCCTGGCTCACACCAGGAGGGGACAAGAGAGCCTGAGGTTGTGTGTTGTTTAGGGGTTTTATAGGCGAGGATTTTTGGGAAGCGGATAAAAGGCTTAGGGGTGTGGACTTGTTAAGAGGTCCTTGAATATTTAGAATTAACTTAACACAAGGAACTTCCTGCTCTGATTTCCTCCTTTAGATACCTGTGTCTTAGTCTGGAAGCATATCAAACAAGGCCACCTGCCCAGCCCCCAAGGTGGGCTGAGATATTGTTTGCTAAAGAGTAAGTTAAGAATCTTACTCCTTAACTTCCTGGGTATTAAATGCAATCTTATCTTTAAGGTGGAATCCTTTCTGCCTTTTACTATGTTGTTTTTGGCTGGGATTACTTGCCATTATTAGTTGCCCAGTTTGCAAATCACTTCATTAGGTCTGAAGGAGGAAAGACAGCACATAGGTCTGGGCCTTTTAGCATGCTAAAGAGAATCTTACACATGATTACAAATGATTAACATAATAAAAACATGCTACTCTTCTTCTGTATCTGGGGAATATTAACTGATCTCACCAAAGAACCACTCTAGAGCTTAATGTTTAACACAGAGTTTTGGTAGGGGGTTTCCTTGCATGTAGTTACATTGTTCTGACTGTAAATACCCTGCCTTGCTTTTTCCGGAGGCCCTCACCCTATTCTAAGCTCATGGTCCCTGTCTCAGCAGGATGGAGAAAGTGGCCTTGTCCCACTGGTGACAGCGATAGTGGAAGGCATGGCATGGTTAGTGGCCTTGGCTGCAGACTTGGGAGGCAAAAGCCTGCCTCCTAAGTAGGTGTGAGTGGGTCCTTCCTGGGGACCAAAGGGCAACTGATGATTGGCAAGAGATGAGGCCAACACCTGACCACTGAGGAGGCTGTTTCTGACCTTACAAGAAAGCCACACCTTACAGGTAATAGCCAGATCATGAAACAGATGTAAACTGAGGTTTTTTTTCCCAGTTGAACCATTTTAAACTACCCCTAGGAGCTGTTGACTTAAGAGTCCCTAACAGCAGCAGACACACACACCCCAATCTCCCTTTTGGTTTTACCATGTGTAGGCAGGCCCAGCGCCACGTTGCTTGAGGACTTAAGAGAAAGAGTCAAGGAATGTGCCCTGAGACCAACTCAGAACCACTGACTGAAGAGAGTGGCAGACAAACATCCCCAGCCCTTTCCCACTCAGGTGAGGTCATTCAGAGGTACTGCCTGTGCACCAGCCCCCAGAGGCCCTCAGCTCCTTACTGCCTATGGTAATGCACCTGTGTGCACCACCTCCCCTTCTAGCACTTCCCAGGATTACCTCCCACATAAATCGCTTGTACCTAATCCTTGTCTTAGGCTCTGCTTCTCAGGGATCCACGGTAACCCACTATTTTGGTAGAGGAAGCAAGTGTTAGCATCCAAAGGAGGAACACAAGAAAATACAAGTGATTGTGGAGATAAAAATGGGACACCTCCTGAGAACCCTCTTGAGGGCATCCTTGACCACACAAGTTTAGAGACAAAGCTAAGGGCCATACAGAGGCATTACTTACAGAAGCAGATGTGTATTAATCAAACTCACAGAGATGGAGGGTAAAATCAGTCAGTGCTTTTAATTCCAAATGAGAAAGACATTGTCCAGGCCAGACCTCTTGCAACCACCTGATAATACCTTCCCTCCCTGCAGATGAGGGAAGTTCCATGATTATCTCCAGGCTACCCTGTGCACATGGGCTGGGCCCAAAGGGAGCTGCAGAATCCCCCTACTGAGTGACTGACATATTTGTGAACTTTGCTGAGGCTGGACACCAAGCAAGTCCTCACTAACCAAATCCTAGCTGATGATGTTGTCTGAGTGGGGTGCAAAGGCAGAGAGCAGCTCCCCTATCCCTCGGAATCTGAGAGACTCCTGTGCTGCAATGACCGTGAGTTTGAAAGAAGAAAGTAGGCTGAGTTACAAACATCTGCTCTCACCAGCCCAGCACTGGCAGACTGTTTGGGGCTAGCCGGCTGGCAGGCAGGGACAGGAGAAAGTGGGGTCAACGACAAGTGGGGCTGGCCCAATACAGCAGTCTGAATTAAGTCACTTGACAGCTCCAGGCATAGGACGTTCTGTGATTCCTCCCCTCCACCCTCTGCCCACACCCTTTTTTGCCAGCTTGCCCTGAGTGTCGTAGCACACCAGGGCTGGGAGGAGGTTGAGAAAGAGGCAGGCGCTAAGCTTTACCTGGCTGTGTGTCCATCTGCACCCAACTTCTTTCCTCTCAGGAAGTTCCATCCCAGTAAAGGGTCAGCGGGGCCAGGCAGCACTAAATTCCTTCTCCAGATCCTGGACAAACTGGTCATTGAGGAAGAGCAGCTGACCATGCGGTAGGAAGCGGGCAAGAATGCCTTCAATCCGATCAGCCCGCAGCAGGAGGTTTGCACTGGGAGCCAGCAGCCGGAGGTGGTCGAGGAGGAGGCGTGCCAGCAGCCGGAGCGTACTCTCAGCCAGCAGCAGGTTCTCATGGGCATCCAGCACCAGGGCAAAGCCTAATGAGAGTACGCCCAGCCACACCACTGTCCGAGGCTCCTGGAAAGGGTCCCCTGCTGCCAGGCGGAAGGCCCCGCGTGGAGCCTCATGCAGAGGTACCAGCTCATCTGAGGACTGGGGCTGTAGGTCCGTGGGGTGCCGGCCGGATGCCAGCTGCTGCAGCTGGCACATGGACTCCACCTGCCTGGGAAAAACCAATGGGTCACTGACTTCTTTCATCCTCATGACCACCCCTGGAGCTGGGAGCCGCCATTATTCCCATACTTCAGATACAGAAGCTGAGCCCCAGAGAGACTAAGTGACCTGTGCAGGCCCACAGGACAGGAAGGGTGAGGGGGACTGGAATCCAGGCTCCAGCCTCCAGGCTGTGAACCATTTCACTCTGTGTGGCCAAGAAAATGCAGGCTTTGAACACAGCTCCTTGGGCTGGAAAAGGGCACCTAGGGAAGATCCTGCCCGCACCTGCTTCACAAAGCCACCTCACCATAAAGAAAAGTGAGCCATCGGAAGTGGAGTGAAAGCTATGTCCCACCTGGACTATCTAACTTCTCCACCTTCATCTCATCCTGCAACCCTCTCCAAATAAAAAAAGAAAGACTTTCCATTTGGCCATCCAGGCTTTTGAAAGCACTCTCTGATCTCTTCTGAATTGCCTTCATGCACAAGCTGGTTTTAAAGGCATCTGTTTAGTTTCTGTGCCACAGGAAGGGGTGGAGGCCCAGAAGAACAAGGGGATGGCAGGAGGCTGGCACAGGGCCACCCCCGAGTGTTGGTCTTCCACCCAGAATACAGAGGGGCCAAGAGATTCTGGCACTTGCTGGTTCCTTCTGGGTCTGGGATGGGAGGATCCAAGGTCCGCTACCCCCCATCTGGAGGTGTTTCCCAAACTGTGCTCTGTGGATCCCAAGCTTTCAGGAGGCTCTGGAAACAGAGTTCCCATGTACTACATTCCTTCTCCTCCTCAGAGATTCATAAAGTCTATAGGCACTAAAGACCCTGAGAAGTCCTGCACTGCAAAGCATATTTAATCTGTACCAGTGTCTGTCTGCCTACACTCAAATCCCAGCTCTGCTGCTTGCCAGCTGTAAAACCTCAGGCAAGTTAAGTTCCTTAAATTCTCTGTACCTTAAGTTTCTTCACCTGTAAGGTGGGGATAATAATAACTGTACCTACTTCAAGACTCTTACAAGGATTAAATTGAGTTCTTATAGTGAAATGCTTAGAACACAAATGCTTAGCAAATACTCAGGCTTAACAAATACTACTGTAATAATAATGATGACGATAATAGCATTATTATTTTTTAACCCTTTTTTATGTAACACTTGTGAACAACTGTGGAAGACTCTTGGAAAACGCTACTCTAAAACTTTCTCTCTGCTTCTTAGTTCTCCCCCAGAGAACCACATGTGTTCAATGAAGACTTGTGTGGTTACCTGGCCACAGCCAAAATCTGTTCCTTTCGGAGGAGCCTGTCCCTCTCGGCACCATGTGGACGCGGATCATCTGGTGAATTCTCAGCACCAAAGACACAGGAGTAGAGCACTCGGCAAAGACCTGTGTCCTCAGCCTGTGGAGCCCGCAAGGTGTGGACGAGGAAGGCATGGACCATGGCTCTGAGTGCTATAGGAATCCAGAGACCTTAGTGAGATGAGCATGAAATCCCAGCAGGGAAGGCAGCCACAGAAAGCGTATGATCTAGCAGGGTCTGGGAGTGCATCCCTGGAGGCTGATGTTGCTGCTTACTCCATCATCCAAGACACACTCTCAGCGTCTGAATAACGGCATCTGGTTGGTACCACTTCTGCCCATATCAGAGTCTAGTAGTGAAGACATCTCAGACAACCACAAACCCAGTTCTACAAAACAATTGGCAAGGAATCCTCAAAAGTGTCTGAGAGTCCAGGGAAGCTGGGGAGCTGCCCCACACTGCAGGAGACTAAAGACACACAACAGTTGGAACCCAACCTGCAGTCCTGCATGGGATCCTGGGCCAAGAAAAAAGTAGTTTCAATATAAGGGCATTATTAGGACAACTGGGAACATTTATACATGGATTACCGGTTACAGAATAATCTTTATCATATTACCCGATTTAGAACATAGAATGTCCTTGTTTTTAGAAAATACACACTGAAATTCAGAGGGAAAGGGGCATTTGCCTCTAACAATTATCAAAGGGTATACAGTTCTTTACAAGAAAATTCTTGAAATTTTCTGTACTTTTGAGATTACTTCCAAATAAAGACTACTGTAATGACAATAACTACTACAATAACAACGGTGTCTGGATGGCTCAGTGGCCAGCCCAGGGCTGAAAGGCATGGGTACACAGTAAGGAGAGTCCTACAGGAAAGTTTACATTGGTCAAATAGCAAATTCGTGAGTTCGTGAAGGCGCTTTGAAAATCGGGGCCCGCAGACCGCGTACTGATCTCCGGTAACCCTCCAGCTGCAAAAAAGATCACGTCATCAGCCTTCGCCACCGCGTCCCCCACCCCAACAGAGAAATGGTAGTGGCCCAGACCCTTTACGTCACTGCCTCGCGCAACCCTGCGTGGCAGAGCATTTGGGAGGTTGTATTTCCTTGCTCCAGTCCTCCAGGTACCCCTCCCTGAGTGAGCTACCTCTGCCGCCGGACCGCTCTCCTTCCTTACCCCTTCCTTTCCGCCCGCGGACTCAGTAACAGGACACGACCCGAAAAAAGGAGAAGCAATGGCGGCCACGCGCCCTCTGTGCGCCTGCGCACACCATCGGGGGCGCGCGCACGAGCATGACGCTACGGGCTGGGTGGAGCCCTCACGAACTGTGCGGTGTTCCCGACGCGCAGGGGGGCGAACTTCTGACATCTGGATCCCCGGCACGGGTGACTCACCATGGGACCAAAGACCTCCTGCTCCGAGTTTCCGGCGGGGCCCGTAACGGTCATTCCCTGACCGGGTAGGCGGGGCTCCGATTAGGAGCCCTGAACCAGCCGAGCCCCAAGCCACCGTCTCCGGCGGCCGCGAGGGGGCGCAGCGGCCCGGCGTGTGAACTTTTCGGAAGAGGGCGGGTGGCCGCGTGTTTTTCCCGGGCGGGGTTCGGGCCTCCGCGATCCTGGCATCCCTGTGAGGCTCTCCGGGCCTGTAGGTGCAGGGCCTAGTTCTCAGACTAGCCAGTACGCATTGGAAATCGCTGGGGCCCCTGTTAAAATTCAATCTTCTGGGCCTTAAGCCTGGAGATTATGACTGGGGGAAATACATATAGTTAGGCAGTTCTTGGGGGAATTCTGAGTCTCTGGTTCCTGCGGTGAGTTTAGACTAAGGCTCCGTTTGAAGTATATAGAACACTTCAAACTCTGAACCCAACCCTGTCAGCAACTTTGCCTGGCAGCTCAGTCACTTCGTTGGGCCCCAGTGAGGGTTTAGTAGACTGGCCAGTTCTTCCTTTCACACTTCTACCACTAACAAACTTCCCTCCTTGACCCCCTTTTGAGGGAGGCCATCGAAGGTAAAGTGAAGAGGCTTATACCTTAAACCAGAAGGGGTACCCCCAGGTGCCTGCCTCCAGAGCCCTGCAGTGGAATACGAGTCCCAAGTGATGGCTTAGCACAGAAGTGTTTGGGGCCCAGTAAGGCTTGTAAGGCCTGTCTGGTCTCATTGCCTGCCCTGGGCTTCCATGCACACATACATGTACACAGTTCCATTACTTGGCATGTGAAATGTTTGAGCCTCCCCAGATAATCCAGTGTTCTCAGAGCCCCTGCCCCTACACTGTCTTGTTCTGTCGGTCTGGAATGCCCTTTCCGCCCCTTTTTGCCTCTCAAAATGTGCTCAGACCAAAACTTAAGGGAAGCCTTCCTACCTAGACTGCCCATCAGCCGTCAGCTGCCCCCTTGGCACCCACTGTGAGGGTCTGCCTACGGTTGTGATATCTCCCATAGGTTACACCCAGGCTATGAGCCCATCTTCCCTCCCTAGGGCATGTCAAAGCAGGCCTAGACCCAACTTGAACACACTTCTTGGTGACTGAAGAAATGAAGGACAGGGTAGGGCACCCCAGGAAGGGACTTTATAGCCAGATGCCTCTAAGGGCATGCACTCTGGACACCCATGGCCATCGGACCTGGGCAGGGGGCCACTGAAGCGAGGCTAGAAGAGGTGCTTCAGGAGCTGGCCAGGGCATGTGGGCATTTTAGCAACAACACATATATTTGCAGGTGGAGGAGCAGGCGCAGCAGAAACAGTGTGGGGCCTAAGCTATAAGGCTGGGAATGATGTTGGCCCAGTTCTTCATCCCTGCTCATTGTCACTCTCAGCCAGCCATAGTGTCTGCCAGTTGATTATAACAGAGAACTGGCAGAGGGCTCTGGTTGTTGGGGCCACCTGGCATCCGGAACACAGTATTCCAGCCTCTGCTGTTCCTCAGGCAGTAAGTCCAGCACAATTCCCAGGCCACTAGTGCACTGGCCTTGTGTAAGGTACATGGAGGAGACAGCAGTGAGAAGCTGGCCTGAGCTGCTGCCCTGGAGTGCAGTGGGGGACCCAGATGGAGATAATATCCAGATAAGAGGGGCAGACTCAGGTGCCATTCTTGACTTTTTGCAGTCCTCAGCCAGCTTAGGCCCCAAAGGTCAAAAGCCATGTGCTGAGGACAGTGAGTCAGAAAGGGGCCTGGGCTCCCCGAGATACTACAGATCTCTTGGAGAGCGAGGGGCACACATGTTTATTTGGTTAAACCTCCATGTGGGGTTGCTTTTACATGCAGCCTAACTCCCATTCCCATCACCCACATCCCAGCTTTGCTCTTTTCAGTGGTCCTCTGAGATGGAGTTGCCTACAGCCTCTCACATTGGCACCTTCCCCATATTCCTACCTTCCTCTACTCTCTGTCCACTTTAGGATGAGGTCTGCCCCACAGTGGCAGGCAGGCAGCCTTGCCTTTTCTGACCCCACTTCATGCCCACCACTGGGGTAAGTGCTTGGTGACTGATACTAATTCAATTTGGAGAGTAGGTTCCATTCCCCACCTACCCAGATCACAGCAGGATCCTGAACCCCAGACATAGGACCAACTGCCAGGTACTGCTTATATACCTTCCAGGGCAGGGAGCTCCCCTGAGACAGCTCCATTGTTTTTTGACAGCTGGAAAGCCTCATTGATCTTTACTGACCCTGAGATTTTATGTCAGACCAGTCAAGTCACCACCTATTTCTGGATGGGTGAGGGCAATTAGGTAGAATCTGCCAGTCCCAGGCAATGGATTTTTTAAATGACTCACTGATAAAGATGTCTAGCCCTTTCTCAAAGAGTAGAACTGGAAACCAAGAGGAAGAGGGGATCTGCTCTTTTGAGAATCCAAGTGGGCTGAGATTGTCTATGGTTTCCCTAGAATAAAGACCAAGTCGGGCAAGCTTTGTGCTTCTGTCCCCCTCCACATGCCCCAGCTAGCTCAAAAATGGCACTGCCCTGTGCGGGCAGCTTCCCCTGCCTCCACCAAACTGCCATCCACGGCTTCCCAGCTGCTACCTGGGCTGGTGCAATAGGCCAATGGCCTACACACAGTGGCTGGGCTTTTCTCCCATAACCCATTACTCAGGGGCTTGTCCACGTGCAGGAAGGAAAGGAAACTGAGGCTGGTCCCTTTCTTTTAATGAAATGTTTTCAGGCTCATCCTTTTTTACTGTCTGGTCTTGTAATTGCTACACTGGACAGAAGTAATAATAGCCAGAGGCTCTTGTATGGCATTTGCTGTAGGCAAGCCCTTTTCTGAGCACTTTACATAAATACATCAACTCATTTGATCCAATCCACAACCCTTTTAAGAAGGGGCTTTATAATTCCCATTTTACAGATAAGGAAACTGAGGCACAGTGAGATCAAGTAACTTTCCAGTTTTATACATGGCTGAAGGAGGTGTGGTCATGTCAGTAGATTTCAGCCTACCCTTTCCCCTCCCCTCTCCCCTCACTGGCACCCCAGGGAGTAACTCAGCCCTTGCTCCCAGCTTCAGGAAGCCATATGCCTCCCCCCAACCCCAGCCCTGCTTACCTTCTGCAATCCAAATCTGGGACCTCGGTTCCCACCCAGATTGGATAACCTTCTTCCCCAGTACCGGCAGTCCCAACCCAAGTGACCCCTCCCCACTTCCAGTCTTCCCCTCAGGGAGTCCCAGACCCCAGGGAAGTAGTCTTGGTTGGGCCCGTGGAGGATGAGGCCATGTGTGATTCGTCCTTTCAAACAGCCATGCTTCCTGCAGGGCTGAGTGCCAAGAGGCTCCACGAGGCAGCTCCAGCCCAGCCACGTGAGGCCCCTTCCCCTCCCGCTGCCCCAGGCTGCGCTGACTCAGTGCCTGGCAGCTGCAGGTGCCACCCCCTCCCTGGGGCGTGAGTGCCCGGGTGGGCTGGGTGGGGCAGAGGAAGCCCTGGCGGCACTGCTTGGCATCCAGAGAAACTCCCATGCAGGTTGGCTGGGAAGGCTTCTTACCTTCCATCCTCTAACCAACTGTCTTCTTTAGACAATAGACTGGGAATAATTTCACATCATCTGACATTCTCTGAGGGTGTGATTTTCATGGCTACAGCACAGCAAACTCCATCATTACTCAACTTCCCCCTCTTGATTGTTTCCAGATTCCAAGTGGCCATGTGCCTCTCTTGTCTATAAACATCCTCCCTTTCTGCACCAACAGTTTGACTGCCTCTGGAAAGTAGAGTGCCTGTGTGTTCAGTTCCAGGGTGAAGACTTTTTAGACATCCTTTGTTTGCTGGATTATTGTGAGTGGCCATCAGGAGACAGGCTCAACAGAGACATGAGCCAGTTAACTCCAGAGTCACTAACTTCTTAAAGAATCTGACTTGAGGAAAAAATAAAGACAATATTTCAGTATAAGAGAGTCTGAAAACTCTGACTCTGGGTTAGCGCTCGAACCCCTGCAACCATGTCTTGACATGTAGGTTCAGCATGTGACAGTTGACAGAGTCCTTTGCTATGTACAACAATCAATTTTTTCTGGCAGAGAGAGAGAAATTAAAATTTACCAATTTTGATGAGAATAAGGGGCAGCACAACTCTTAGATCCTGCTAGTGGGAAGGTAATGTTGGTACAGCAACCTTGGAAAACTGTGGAAAATAGAGGCTGAACATCCTATGACCCTACAGTCCCTCTCCTGGGTATATTCCCAGTGCAGCTTGAAATAGCCCTAAATCATCCATTGAAGGCGGAATGAAAATGTTCTGTGTCTTCCCAAAGCCAGGGAAGAGAATGTTTTGAGAAGGAGCAAGTGGTAAAGGGGGTTAAATACTGCTGAGAATCAATTTAGATGAGAAATGAAAAATGTCCCCTGGTACTAGTGACAGGGTTCCATTAAGTGAGAGTTTAAAATAAAAAGTTCTGTGTCTTGAATGTGGTGGCATTTATACTTGAATTTATCAAAACTCACAGAACTATATATTCAAAAGGACAAGTTTTACTGCATAGAAATCATACCTTAATTTTTTTTTTAATTTAAAACCAGGAGAAAAGAGCAGAATGAACAATTCAGGAGTGTATTTGGGTAGTGGAATACTGCACAGCAATGAACAGAAATAGACTTCTGTTAAAGGAAGCACAGGGGATTCTCAAGGTCATTATGCTGAGTGAAAGAAGCCAGAAGCAAGAGTAGGAACTGTTTGATGTCATGCATATGGAGGTGCAGAACAGTCAAGACTGATCTATGGTGATAGAGGTCAGACTAGCAGTGACTCCTGGAGTGCAGGTAACTGGGAGGGAGCTGAGGGGGCCTCCTGGAATGCGGGAAATGTCCTACATCTTGAGCTCTGTGCCTAAGATGTGTGCCCTTGATGAAATGTTACGTCATTCCTCAATTTAAAAAGAAAACATTATTTTTTTAAATGTTGCAAGTTGCTCACTGACTTGGCCAGGCCTGGCTCAGGCCAGCTCCTGCTTGCTGCCAGCCCCACACAATTCTTTAACCACGTGAACCAGCCACACATGGCTGCTCCCAGGCTGGAATTGCTGCCCCTCCCTGGCCCTTGAAAAACAACCTTTAAAACTGGCTGGCAGCCCAGGATTTTAAACTGCTTCCTTGTCTGATTCCCTCTCCTTTATGAGCTTTCAGGAAGAAAGTTACAGTTTCTGTTGCCGGGGCCAGGGGTATTGGGGCACCTCTGTCCCATCCACTGAATTTTCCAGCAGTGGAGGTCCTGGCCTGAATAGGATAGGAAAACCCCTGGAGCCCGTTCTCCCAAACCCAGGCCCACTTCCCTCAGTGTGGGTGTCAGCACCAGGGCCTTCTCTGTTTTGTTTTGTTTTTTCTCCTGGCTTGAGCAAGACTTCCTCCCTGCCTTCTCCTCCATTTCCACGGCAAAATGAAGGGAATACCTCCTGGTGGGCTTAGACAACAATATGTAAGTGGAGCAGACTAAGTGTCCCATGACCCCTGCAGTGACTCTGATGGTGGGTTTAGGAGGGGGGCAGACATGGCCCTGGATGTCAGCACCTGGCACACAGCCTGGATGTTGTTAGCCACTCAGCACCCATTACTCTCCCCATGTGGCCTGATCTAGACAGGTGGAGTGGGAAGAGGACAAGCCAGGCAGCCTAGCCCCACCCTTGGCTGCTGGGTCCGAGGCAGGAGATGAGCAGCGGGAGGGTGCTGGGCGACTGGAATTCCTGCTGGCGTCTGTCTTACCTGGGGGCCAGTGAAGTACCCTCTCTGAGCATCCAGCTGCCCTCCTCTGTAGAACCAGGAAGGCAGAGGGGAGAGGGGGTGCTTCACCTAAACAGTCTCAGCATGACAGCTCCCAGGGGAGTCTCCCATTTCTCCCTTTCTCAGGTGTCCACATGGCTATTTTCCCTTTTCTTGGGAAATCCTCCTACCCAAATAAATGCAAGCTTTGGTGCGAGCTGCCTGCTCACAGGAGCAGCTTCTGGAGTTTTCAGGGCCCAGCCCCCCAGCCCATCAAGATCAAACCCCATTATCTCCCACCCGTTGTGCCCTTGCAGGGGGACCTAGACCAGGAGTAAAGACCAAGCCTTTGGGCATAAGAAACTTAGGGGAAAAGCAGGAGATAAGGCAAATATCCTTTAGGCTCAGCCTGGCAATCTGGAGACCCTTATTTGCTCTGGTAGGAAATAGCCTCCATTTTCCATCCACAAAATGGAGCAGATAGTCACTGGCACCAGCCACTTCATAAGGCAGATGAACAGAAAGTAATGATGCAACATGCTGTATGTGCACTCAGTATCAGTGCCTTATTTGGACATGTGCAAAGGAGTCCCAGGAGTCAGTCAGCTCACATTCCAGGAGTGGGGGGCATCTGCTGTAGTATTCTGGCAGGATTTCCTGAGACACTGGGTTTGCACCTGGGACCAGGTTCTCCCAGACTGGCCCTTTCCCACTCTCTAGACCTTGAACTCAGCATCATCTAAGTGATGAAACCTTTGCTGGATGCTGGAATACTGAAGAGTCATTTCTCTGACAGGGCAGGAAGGCTTCTGGGAGGTGGTATTTGAAATCAAGTCTTGAAGAATAGCAGATGTGGGAGGGTGTTCTTAATTGTTCAGCAGATGCAAAGGTAAGGAAAAAAGAAGAGCAAGGGATGGGGAATCTGAGTCAGCAGGAGGTGAGGAATGGGGCTGGGGAGGGCCAGCTGCTAAAGGGCAATGCCAGGAGTCTTTTATGTTTCTTCTGAGAAACAAAATGGGGGGCATCTGACAACTTGTGAGGAGTGATGGGGTCACTCTTGTCTTCTTGACACCCAGTGTAAAGGGTGAGCTCAGAGGTACTTGAGGAGTTGGGGAGTGGGGCTGACTTAGGAAGGGAACATAAGGCCACCTCCCCAGTCCTCCAGTCCTGTTCTGATGACCTGCTCCCAACCCTGTCCCCCCATCAGAGCATGCCATAGTCTGACCGCAGGCCCCTAGAACACGGTGCTGGTTACTCAACTCACTCAGTGCTTTATTGAACCAAGGCCCTAATGGATGACTCATCAAGGACTTCAAACAGCCTCCCCACAGCCTGAGATTCAGAATCCAGATGTGGCTATGTCCTTGGTTTCACTGCTTCTATCACATCTCCTGAATATTTCCAAACCTTAAAGTGTACGAACTTTGTCGACACTGGCAGACACATACATATACCTGCCACAGGTTGCCATGCACGCTGAAATGCTTCCACTCAGTGCTTTATGTGTGCAAGGCATTGTGCATCCATCATCCATCCATTTGTCCATCTATCCATCCGCAACAAGAGAGCAGCAAGTTCTGACCAGTCAGACCCCAGAGTTCACAGCAGTGGGGGCTGGGCTTCCAGCAGGCTCAGGCTGCAGGCCTTTGCCCTGGTTCAGGGGCCCCTGAGGATAATAATGTCCCTTTCTGAGGCAACAGAAGCCAGGGCACAGTGGGTGATTAATGTTTGAGTCTCTAACCCCAGTTGGACGGGGAAGCCTAAACCTCAGCCTGTGAATGTCCTGAGACGGGCAAGACATGAGACAGACAATCAAGCGTGCAGGTAACACTGAAACAAGTAAGAGCTTCTGTTTGTGCTGAGGATGTCTGTATGAAAGGACAGGAAAAAAGGAAAGGGAGGGGAACAAACACGGCAGACACACCCTGGAATGCTGTCCATTGCCTGGGACACAGCGCTGACATAGGGCAGGGAGGAATGTAGCACCTTTGGCCCATCCTGGGGGCTGTGGCTTTCTCCAGCCTCATACATACAAACAATGCCCTGAGAAACATGGGGGCTTTCCTGGATGCAGGAAGACAAAAGGTTAACCCAAACAAGGAAGAAAAAAGCAAAAAAGGCTCCGGTTGGACACAAAATACTTCCTCTGAGCTGGACTTAATCCAGTTTCACCATGTGACCAGGGGCTGGGCTGGGGCAGGAGGTGGCACCAGGACATGGAGTGTGACTGGAGTGAGACAAGGGGACCAGAGCTGGGGGCAGACAGATAAGACACCCTCACTATCTTTCCCCTGGACAGCACTGGGGGGCCTCCACAACCCCTGAGCCCTGCAGGCCCCTAGGTGGCTGGTGCCCAGGCCACATGAGGCAAGGAACATAGGCAGGACTGTGACTGGCCCTTCACTGGTCCTGCAGGCGGCTGCAGAGCTCCCGCCGACTCCGCTCTCCAGCCCAGCTGCGCGTCTTGAGGCGGAAGGTCTTCAGCTCCTCCTTGAAGGCCTCGTGATTCATGGGCCGGTAGTCCTGGGGCTCACAGAAGGTCTAGGAGAGCAAGCAGGTGGGGTCAGTCAATACACAGGAATGAGTAGCTTTTGAGTGGCAGCCCAGCCTTCCCTTCTCCTTGCCTACCTCCTGGCTGAGCCCTTCCCTTGCAGTCCAACCCTCCCACAGAAGCTGTGGCTGCCCCCACACGTAGTACCGGATGCTGTGGGAAGAAGTCCTTGTAGCCGCCTTTGAGGATATACATCTCGGGATAGTAGAGGCTGGGGTAGTCGTTGGCAGCTCTGTCTCGTTCCCTGATGAAACGGCACCTGGGATCAGCATGGGTACAGGGTCAGAGCTGACCTGTGCCTTGCACCCACCCCTCTGTGGGGCTTGGGGATCCACAGAAGTCTCTCATGCAGGAATGTCAGCCACAAGAACACTTTTAGATCTGGCTACTGGGTACAGAAGAGGCTGGGGAAATGGAAGAAAGGAGGGAAATCAAGAGGGCTCTATTTCTGGAAGGCAGTTCACAATCTATGTTAAAGATATCTGGCCTGGACTGGGAAAGGGGAAGCAGAAAGAGAGATGGGCAAGATTCAAGAGGTCCCAATAAGACTTGGTGAGGACTGGGATAGGGTCCTTCGATTTTATGGACACTGCTAGAGACCTGGAACTAGCTTCTGTGGAGGTGGCAGCAATGGACAGAGGATGGACGTGAGCCAGATGGGAAGGATGGAGGCAGAGACGGGAGGAGGATTCCACGCACAGGGACATGGGGGTGAGGTCTGCTCCAGGCATCAGATGATATGAGGCCCAGGCCAAGGAGGGGCCAGGGCTGAGCTCTAGCCTGTTAGCTATTCAAGCCTGAGTGGAGAAGGTCAGGAACAGAAACTAGCTGGGGTGGGGCAGCTGGGACTCACATGCGGGGCCCCCGCTCAGATGAGAATTCACAGTGGAAAATGAGGATGATTCTCTTGTCCAAGCTGCAAGGCATGATGGGGCTCTGTAGCAGAAAGGTCTCAGCATCCCGTTCCAGGGGCAGGTTCACAGCCGTCTGCCAGAAGAGCTGGAGGTCAGGCCAGAGCCCTGGGCCTGGTTAACAGACCCTTCCTCTAGGCAGTCCCCAACTTTAGATGGGGGTCCCCACCTCCTGTTGGGAAGGACCCTTCCCCACAAGGCAGTGCACTGCCCTCTACTGATTCACTCCCCCAACAGAGGAAGGATAGAATCAGGTGGGATTTTAGGACCCTGTCACCCGCCTCACCTTGATATGCCCTCCTTCATACTCATAGGGGTATCTGCAGTCCACAATCACAAACCTCTCCACGATGTTGCTGAACTTGCCTGTCAGCAGGGCCACCATCTATAGGAGGCCACAGGGGTGGATCCCTGTAGGTCAGGCTGGCAGGCAGGGACTGACCCTTAACCCTACCGCTGACCTAGTGCTTGCAGCCCTAGGGAACCTTAACAGGCAAATGGCAGTCCCAGATGTGCCCGGACAGTGGCTCATTCCCGAGTACCGTTTCTGGTGCGATGTACTTGAGGTCTTGGTGTTTTCCATCCACAGTCTGTAGGAGGAAGGCCTGAAGGAAGTGGGCAGAGAGAGAGATTGAGGGAGAGAGGGAAAAGAAGTGAAACTATTAAGACTAAGAGCCTGGAAGGATGGAGTTTTTTCCTAAGCCCAGAGGCCACACCCGTTTGACCTTCCAATTCATACTGGTTCCCATAGCAGTCAAGAGGTACCTCTTGGGTCTGAAACCCAGAACACTGGAAATGAGGAAGGGGAGGGAAGAAATTTACTCTCCACCTGCTGCCCCCACACTTTCTCTGCCAAGCCCCAGGATGAAGCCCAAGGAGGCCCCAAACTAGATGTTAGTTTGGAAATGTTTTCCAAGGCTGAGACACCGCTGATGCCTGGACAGATCTGAGGTAGAGTCAGGAGACCAAGGAGAGCCAGAGAGATGAGTTTAGTGAGAATACAGGACAGTATGATGCAAAGAACAAAGCAAGCGGGCCTCTGGCAGGAGAGGGAGGCAGCAAAGCAGCTGCTAGGCTCAGGGGCCATGGGTAGCGCCCAGCCTCCTGAGGGGTTCCACTGATGATACCTTGGAGTAATCGCCAATCAGTTCTCGGTGGTCACTGTCCAGGATGTTCTCAATCTCATTGTGACACAAGGACTTTGAACGGAGGACACGGGCCTTCTGCAAGGCAGATGGTGGCCACAGTCAGGGGTGAGGGTGCCCCGTGTGGTTGGTCCCTCCTTTCCAGGCACCCTGCCCTCTGCCACAAACCCAACCAACAAGGGCTTGCAGAGTGGACTCGGAGGGTGGCAGGCCAGACACACCCCAGGAGGGCACTCACATGTTCCTCGGCCTCACAGTGCTCCTCGGGAGGGGTCACACTCCTCCTCCGCTTGCTCTGAATGGGCCAGTCCCTGTCCTGGGGCCGCTCCAGCCTCTTGAGGATGGGCCGGATCACGCCACAGGGCATGGACGGTGAGCGGAAGAGCCGCTGGCACTTGCTGTACATGATGAGGTCCTGGGGCAGGGGCCGCAGGTCAGGGATCAGAGTGCCCAGGCCATGTCTCCCATCCTCCTGCTGCCAAATCCCACCTGGAGGGGAGGGGCCCATCCCTCCAAGTTCTGAGGGGGCCACCCTAGAGGCCCACCTGCTCCTCTTCCTTTCCTGAGGTCTTGACCAGTGGGGCGCTAATGAGGCTCTCCATGCCTGGGGGGACCGAGTCATCGTCCTGAGGCCAAATCAGCAAGGATACGGTCACACCCACAGGCTCATGTCTTCCAGCACAGCCTTTCCTGTTCTCCCTGAAAACCCCAGGCCAGCAGCCCTCCCTGGCCCTACTAGCACCTGCACGCAGAGCAGCCCCCCAGAACCAGGAAGCTGCAGGGCCCCACTTGCTGCTGTGGCTTGCACAGAACTGTGAGAAGTGGGGCACACAGGAGGACCAGGTTTCCCTACACCCTGCAGCAGCAGCCGTCTGCTCCTCTCTGATTGGCCAGAGGTCAGGCTGTGACTCAGTTACCTCCAGTTCTTCTGACATTGAATGAGGTCATAGTCTTGAAGCAGCAGCTCAGAGTCCTCCTATTTAGGAGACCCCAGGGAGAGGTAGGAGGCCTAGAGGGGCAAAGCTGTTTACCTTTAAGTCACTCTCCAGGATGTCCACAAACCCATCATCTTCCTCGGTAGCCCCCTTGGTGGGGGTCAGGGAGAAGGGACATGGGGCCAGGGGACTCAGCTCCTCTACCTCCATTTTCCGCTCTGGGGTGAGACACTGTGAGTGAGGAACAGACAGGTTGCTTAGGGCTGGGGATCCGAGGCAGTCCACACCCCATCCTTCAACTGCCTTGGGCTCAGGGTCACCTCCCCTTCCCCCAGGCTGTCTTCAGGGGCACGCCTGCCTGCCTGTCCAGCATTGTTCAGCTTTGTTGATGTACCAGTAGGTTGGGGGCAGAGCTTGGTCTCTGGGCAAAGGCTTCTCTGCGGCTGGCCCACTCTGCCAGAGCCTGGGTGTGGGTGGGCTGTGTGGGCTTCCATGGCATCTTGAAGACAAATCCATCCTGTGGGCAAGATCGGGGTGGAGAGGGGGCATTATCAAGCGCCACAGCAACACCCCAGCACACCCTCTTCTTCCCCTGAAATGCTCCCACTCCAGCCTTCTGGAAGCGCACATTCTCTTTGTCCTCCCCAGAGCTGTGGGCAGCTTGGCTGCATGCCTCACTCTTCCTCCAGCTGCCTGGTGCTTGGGAGTTGGTGATGTTCCGTAGCACAGGGCTGTGGCCCAGAAGCCTCACCTAGAGAGCCAGGTAGAGCAGCAGGTACTGAAGGCTGCTTTCCTTTGGCCCCAGCCCTACCTTCTCCCATTCCCCGGCTAACTCTCCCAGCTTGTCCATCCACCTCCAAAGCCCCGGCTCGCACAGCCAGATCAGGAACACCCAACCACTTCAGGTCCACCCTCTGGGAGGTGACCCCATATCCTTCCTGCCCCTCCACAAGCCTGGACAGAGTGCCGGGCCTCCTGTCAGGCCTCAAAGGGCACTCACTGGCAGAGACTGGAAGCGTCGGATGGCAAACTGCTCACTGCAAAAGGAAACAGGGACACATCAGGGCCAGAGAGTCATGCCAGGGGCTGTGGCAGAGAGCATGCAGGATGCCCCGCCACCAGAGCCCGGTGTACCCCTGTGCGAGGGTGTGGGAGAGTGTCTGCCCCATGCTGCTCCACCCACAGATGGAGGCTGTGGGAGCCTGCGTGAGGAAGGCTGCAGCACTTACTTTCGAATGACCCGGCTGGCTGCCTGGATGGCCTGTTCAAACCTAGGAGAGAGAAGGATCCCATGCAGCCCACTTCCCCCTACAGCCCATCATCCACTCCTGGTCCACAAGGCCTGGGGTCAGGGCTCAGGCCAGTGGAAAGGGGAGGTAAGAAGAAGGCTGACTCCCAAGGGGGCCCAAGTATTGGAAGGGATGAGATGAGACACAGCCTGGGTTTTGAATGGAAAAGGGCCCAGAGAATGGCAGCAATTGAGACAGCTGAGGCAGGTCACAGGGTGGCTGAGGTGTTACCAAGGCAACGGTCTCACCAGCCTGCCCACAGGCCTTCCACCTGTATGCAAATCACCTCAGCTGGGCCATATGGCCACTAAGAAAGGAATCCATCCATCCCATGGTGACAAACCATGGCCCAACAATGCTATCTCTAGGGCCTGGGATGCCAGCAAGGCTAGGCATCCCGCCCCAACCACCTTGTGTGGGGCTGTGCCGGCTCCCCACTAGACAGAGGCTTAGTTTTGTATGCCCCTGGATCAGCCCCAGTTTGCCATGCCAGACCCCCTACTGATAAATGCGCAGGGTCACATCCTCTCCTCCCTCCTGTGAAATTTTCCAGGACCCAGTCTCTGTCCCACTCCCTCCCTCCTGCCTTAGAAGAGGCCAGCAGGCAAGGAATTCCAACAGATGTTCCTTTTGAGACTGGGGCACAAGCTGCTGTAGATAGGCCCCACCCCCTAGCTATGTTCCCAGAGACCACCTGCCACACAGCTTTTGTGCATCTGTGTGCATGTGCATGCACACACACACACACANATGTCTTGACATGTAGGTTCAGCATGTGACAGTTGACAGAGTCCTTTGCTATGTACAACAATCAATTTTTTCTGGCAGAGAGAGAGAAATTAAAATTTACCAATTTTGATGAGAATAAGGGGCAGCACAACTCTTAGATCCTGCTAGTGGGAAGGTAATGTTGGTACAGCAACCTTGGAAAACTGTGGAAAATAGAGGCTGAACATCCTATGACCCTACAGTCCCTCTCCTGGGTATATTCCCAGTGCAGCTTGAAATAGCCCTAAATCATCCATTGAAGGCGGAATGAAAATGTTCTGTGTCTTCCCAAAGCCAGGGAAGAGAATGTTTTGAGAAGGAGCAAGTGGTAAAGGGGGTTAAATACTGCTGAGAATCAATTTAGATGAGAAATGAAAAATGTCCCCTGGTACTAGTGACAGGGTTCCATTAAGTGAGAGTTTAAAATAAAAAGTTCTGTGTCTTGAATGTGGTGGCATTTATACTTGAATTTATCAAAACTCACAGAACTATATATTCAAAAGGACAAGTTTTACTGCATAGAAATCATACCTTAATTTTTTTTTTAATTTAAAACCAGGAGAAAAGAGCAGAATGAACAATTCAGGAGTGTATTTGGGTAGTGGAATACTGCACAGCAATGAACAGAAATAGACTTCTGTTAAAGGAAGCACAGGGGATTCTCAAGGTCATTATGCTGAGTGAAAGAAGCCAGAAGCAAGAGTAGGAACTGTTTGATGTCATGCATATGGAGGTGCAGAACAGTCAAGACTGATCTATGGTGATAGAGGTCAGACTAGCAGTGACTCCTGGAGTGCAGGTAACTGGGAGGGAGCTGAGGGGGCCTCCTGGAATGCGGGAAATGTCCTACATCTTGAGCTCTGTGCCTAAGATGTGTGCCCTTGATGAAATGTTACGTCATTCCTCAATTTAAAAAGAAAACATTATTTTTTTAAATGTTGCAAGTTGCTCACTGACTTGGCCAGGCCTGGCTCAGGCCAGCTCCTGCTTGCTGCCAGCCCCACACAATTCTTTAACCACGTGAACCAGCCACACATGGCTGCTCCCAGGCTGGAATTGCTGCCCCTCCCTGGCCCTTGAAAAACAACCTTTAAAACTGGCTGGCAGCCCAGGATTTTAAACTGCTTCCTTGTCTGATTCCCTCTCCTTTATGAGCTTTCAGGAAGAAAGTTACAGTTTCTGTTGCCGGGGCCAGGGGTATTGGGGCACCTCTGTCCCATCCACTGAATTTTCCAGCAGTGGAGGTCCTGGCCTGAATAGGATAGGAAAACCCCTGGAGCCCGTTCTCCCAAACCCAGGCCCACTTCCCTCAGTGTGGGTGTCAGCACCAGGGCCTTCTCTGTTTTGTTTTGTTTTTTCTCCTGGCTTGAGCAAGACTTCCTCCCTGCCTTCTCCTCCATTTCCACGGCAAAATGAAGGGAATACCTCCTGGTGGGCTTAGACAACAATATGTAAGTGGAGCAGACTAAGTGTCCCATGACCCCTGCAGTGACTCTGATGGTGGGTTTAGGAGGGGGGCAGACATGGCCCTGGATGTCAGCACCTGGCACACAGCCTGGATGTTGTTAGCCACTCAGCACCCATTACTCTCCCCATGTGGCCTGATCTAGACAGGTGGAGTGGGAAGAGGACAAGCCAGGCAGCCTAGCCCCACCCTTGGCTGCTGGGTCCGAGGCAGGAGATGAGCAGCGGGAGGGTGCTGGGCGACTGGAATTCCTGCTGGCGTCTGTCTTACCTGGGGGCCAGTGAAGTACCCTCTCTGAGCATCCAGCTGCCCTCCTCTGTAGAACCAGGAAGGCAGAGGGGAGAGGGGGTGCTTCACCTAAACAGTCTCAGCATGACAGCTCCCAGGGGAGTCTCCCATTTCTCCCTTTCTCAGGTGTCCACATGGCTATTTTCCCTTTTCTTGGGAAATCCTCCTACCCAAATAAATGCAAGCTTTGGTGCGAGCTGCCTGCTCACAGGAGCAGCTTCTGGAGTTTTCAGGGCCCAGCCCCCCAGCCCATCAAGATCAAACCCCATTATCTCCCACCCGTTGTGCCCTTGCAGGGGGACCTAGACCAGGAGTAAAGACCAAGCCTTTGGGCATAAGAAACTTAGGGGAAAAGCAGGAGATAAGGCAAATATCCTTTAGGCTCAGCCTGGCAATCTGGAGACCCTTATTTGCTCTGGTAGGAAATAGCCTCCATTTTCCATCCACAAAATGGAGCAGATAGTCACTGGCACCAGCCACTTCATAAGGCAGATGAACAGAAAGTAATGATGCAACATGCTGTATGTGCACTCAGTATCAGTGCCTTATTTGGACATGTGCAAAGGAGTCCCAGGAGTCAGTCAGCTCACATTCCAGGAGTGGGGGGCATCTGCTGTAGTATTCTGGCAGGATTTCCTGAGACACTGGGTTTGCACCTGGGACCAGGTTCTCCCAGACTGGCCCTTTCCCACTCTCTAGACCTTGAACTCAGCATCATCTAAGTGATGAAACCTTTGCTGGATGCTGGAATACTGAAGAGTCATTTCTCTGACAGGGCAGGAAGGCTTCTGGGAGGTGGTATTTGAAATCAAGTCTTGAAGAATAGCAGATGTGGGAGGGTGTTCTTAATTGTTCAGCAGATGCAAAGGTAAGGAAAAAAGAAGAGCAAGGGATGGGGAATCTGAGTCAGCAGGAGGTGAGGAATGGGGCTGGGGAGGGCCAGCTGCTAAAGGGCAATGCCAGGAGTCTTTTATGTTTCTTCTGAGAAACAAAATGGGGGGCATCTGACAACTTGTGAGGAGTGATGGGGTCACTCTTGTCTTCTTGACACCCAGTGTAAAGGGTGAGCTCAGAGGTACTTGAGGAGTTGGGGAGTGGGGCTGACTTAGGAAGGGAACATAAGGCCACCTCCCCAGTCCTCCAGTCCTGTTCTGATGACCTGCTCCCAACCCTGTCCCCCCATCAGAGCATGCCATAGTCTGACCGCAGGCCCCTAGAACACGGTGCTGGTTACTCAACTCACTCAGTGCTTTATTGAACCAAGGCCCTAATGGATGACTCATCAAGGACTTCAAACAGCCTCCCCACAGCCTGAGATTCAGAATCCAGATGTGGCTATGTCCTTGGTTTCACTGCTTCTATCACATCTCTTGAATATTTCCAAACCTTAAAGTGTACGAACTTTGTCGACACTGGCAGACACATACATATACCTGCCACAGGTTGCCATGCACGCTGAAATGCTTCCACTCAGTGCTTTATGTGTGCAAGGCATTGTGCATCCATCATCCATCCATTTGTCCATCTATCCATCCGCAACAAGAGAGCAGCAAGTTCTGACCAGTCAGACCCCAGAGTTCACAGCAGTGGGGGCTGGGCTTCCAGCAGGCTCAGGCTGCAGGCCTTTGCCCTGGTTCAGGGGCCCCTGAGGATAATAATGTCCCTTTCTGAGGCAACAGAAGCCAGGGCACAGTGGGTGATTAATGTTTGAGTCTCTAACCCCAGTTGGACGGGGAAGCCTAAACCTCAGCCTGTGAATGTCCTGAGACGGGCAAGACATGAGACAGACAATCAAGCGTGCAGGTAACACTGAAACAAGTAAGAGCTTCTGTTTGTGCTGAGGATGTCTGTATGAAAGGACAGGAAAAAAGGAAAGGGAGGGGAACAAACACGGCAGACACACCCTGGAATGCTGTCCATTGCCTGGGACACAGCGCTGACATAGGGCAGGGAGGAATGTAGCACCTTTGGCCCATCCTGGGGGCTGTGGCTTTCTCCAGCCTCATACATACAAACAATGCCCTGAGAAACATGGGGGCTTTCCTGGATGCAGGAAGACAAAAGGTTAACCCAAACAAGGAAGAAAAAAGCAAAAAAGGCTCTGGTTGGACACAAAATACTTCCTCTGAGCTGGACTTAATCCAGTTTCACCATGTGACCAGGGGCTGGGCTGGGGCAGGAGGTGGCACCAGGACATGGAGTGTGACTGGAGTGAGACAAGGGGACCAGAGCTGGGGGCAGACAGATAAGACACCCTCACTATCTTTCCCCTGGACAGCACTGGGGGGCCTCCACAACCCCTGAGCCCTGCAGGCCCCTAGGTGGCTGGTGCCCAGGCCACATGAGGCAAGGAACATAGGCAGGACTGTGACTGGCCCTTCACTGGTCCTGCAGGCGGCTGCAGAGCTCCCGCCGACTCCGCTCTCCAGCCCAGCTGCGCGTCTTGAGGCGGAAGGTCTTCAGCTCCTCCTTGAAGGCCTCGTGATTCATGGGCCGGTAGTCCTGGGGCTCACAGAAGGTCTAGGAGAGCAAGCAGGTGGGGTCAGTCAATACACAGGAATGAGTAGCTTTTGAGTGGCAGCCCAGCCTTCCCTTCTCCTTGCCTACCTCCTGGCTGAGCCCTTCCCTTGCAGTCCAACCCTCCCACAGAAGCTGTGGCTGCCCCCACACGTAGTACCGGATGCTGTGGGAAGAAGTCCTTGTAGCCGCCTTTGAGGATATACATCTCGGGATAGTAGAGGCTGGGGTAGTCGTTGGCAGCTCTGTCTCGTTCCCTGATGAAACGGCACCTGGGATCAGCATGGGTACAGGGTCAGAGCTGACCTGTGCCTTGCACCCACCCCTCTGTGGGGCTTGGGGATCCACAGAAGTCTCTCATGCAGGAATGTCAGCCACAAGAACACTTTTAGATCTGGCTACTGGGTACAGAAGAGGCTGGGGAAATGGAAGAAAGGAGGGAAATCAAGAGGGCTCTATTTCTGGAAGGCAGTTCACAATCTATGTTAAAGATATCTGGCCTGGACTGGGAAAGGGGAAGCAGAAAGAGAGATGGGCAAGATTCAAGAGGTCCCAATAAGACTTGGTGAGGACTGGGATAGGGTCCTTCGATTTTATGGACACTGCTAGAGACCTGGAACTAGCTTCTGTGGAGGTGGCAGCAATGGACAGAGGATGGACGTGAGCCAGATGGGAAGGATGGAGGCAGAGACGGGAGGAGGATTCCACGCACAGGGACATGGGGGTGAGGTCTGCTCCAGGCATCAGATGATATGAGGCCCAGGCCAAGGAGGGGCCAGGGCTGAGCTCTAGCCTGTTAGCTATTCAAGCCTGAGTGGAGAAGGTCAGGAACAGAAACTAGCTGGGGTGGGGCAGCTGGGACTCACATGCGGGGCCCCCGCTCAGATGAGAATTCACAGTGGAAAATGAGGATGATTCTCTTGTCCAAGCTGCAAGGCATGATGGGGCTCTGTAGCAGAAAGGTCTCAGCATCCCGTTCCAGGGGCAGGTTCACAGCCGTCTGCCAGAAGAGCTGGAGGTCAGGCCAGAGCCCTGGGCCTGGTTAACAGACCCTTCCTCTAGGCAGTCCCCAACTTTAGATGGGGGTCCCCACCTCCTGTTGGGAAGGACCCTTCCCCACAAGGCAGTGCACTGCCCTCTACTGATTCACTCCCCCAACAGAGGAAGGATAGAATCAGGTGGGATTTTAGGACCCTGTCACCCGCCTCACCTTGATATGCCCTCCTTCATACTCATAGGGGTATCTGCAGTCCACAATCACAAACCTCTCCACGATGTTGCTGAACTTGCCTGTCAGCAGGGCCACCATCTATAGGAGGCCACAGGGGTGGATCCCTGTAGGTCAGGCTGGCAGGCAGGGACTGACCCTTAACCCTACCGCTGACCTAGTGCTTGCAGCCCTAGGGAACCTTAACAGGCAAATGGCAGTCCCAGATGTGCCCGGACAGTGGCTCATTCCCGAGTACCGTTTCTGGTGCGATGTACTTGAGGTCTTGGTGTTTTCCATCCACAGTCTGTAGGAGGAAGGCCTGAAGGAAGTGGGCAGAGAGAGAGATTGAGGGAGAGAGGGAAAAGAAGTGAAACTATTAAGACTAAGAGCCTGGAAGGATGGAGTTTTTTCCTAAGCCCAGAGGCCACACCCGTTTGACCTTCCAATTCATACTGGTTCCCATAGCAGTCAAGAGGTACCTCTTGGGTCTGAAACCCAGAACACTGGAAATGAGGAAGGGGAGGGAAGAAATTTACTCTCCACCTGCTGCCCCCACACTTTCTCTGCCAAGCCCCAGGATGAAGCCCAAGGAGGCCCCAAACTAGATGTTAGTTTGGAAATGTTTTCCAAGGCTGAGACACCGCTGATGCCTGGACAGATCTGAGGTAGAGTCAGGAGACCAAGGAGAGCCAGAGAGATGAGTTTAGTGAGAATACAGGACAGTATGATGCAAAGAACAAAGCAAGCGGGCCTCTGGCAGGAGAGGGAGGCAGCAAAGCAGCTGCTAGGCTCAGGGGCCATGGGTAGCGCCCAGCCTCCTGAGGGGTTCCACTGATGATACCTTGGAGTAATCGCCAATCAGTTCTCGGTGGTCACTGTCCAGGATGTTCTCAATCTCATTGTGACACAAGGACTTTGAACGGAGGACACGGGCCTTCTGCAAGGCAGATGGTGGCCACAGTCAGGGGTGAGGGTGCCCCGTGTGGTTGGTCCCTCCTTTCCAGGCACCCTGCCCTCTGCCACAAACCCAACCAACAAGGGCTTGCAGAGTGGACTCGGAGGGTGGCAGGCCAGACACACCCCAGGAGGGCACTCACATGTTCCTCGGCCTCACAGTGCTCCTCGGGAGGGGTCACACTCCTCCTCCGCTTGCTCTGAATGGGCCAGTCCCTGTCCTGGGGCCGCTCCAGCCTCTTGAGGATGGGCCGGATCACGCCACAGGGCATGGACGGTGAGCGGAAGAGCCGCTGGCACTTGCTGTACATGATGAGGTCCTGGGGCAGGGGCCGCAGGTCAGGGATCAGAGTGCCCAGGCCATGTCTCCCATCCTCCTGCTGCCAAATCCCACCTGGAGGGGAGGGGCCCATCCCTCCAAGTTCTGAGGGGGCCACCCTAGAGGCCCACCTGCTCCTCTTCCTTTCCTGAGGTCTTGACCAGTGGGGCGCTAATGAGGCTCTCCATGCCTGGGGGGACCGAGTCATCGTCCTGAGGCCAAATCAGCAAGGATACGGTCACACCCACAGGCTCATGTCTTCCAGCACAGCCTTTCCTGTTCTCCCTGAAAACCCCAGGCCAGCAGCCCTCCCTGGCCCTACTAGCACCTGCACGCAGAGCAGCCCCCCAGAACCAGGAAGCTGCAGGGCCCCACTTGCTGCTGTGGCTTGCACAGAACTGTGAGAAGTGGGGCACACAGGAGGACCAGGTTTCCCTACACCCTGCAGCAGCAGCCGTCTGCTCCTCTCTGATTGGCCAGAGGTCAGGCTGTGACTCAGTTACCTCCAGTTCTTCTGACATTGAATGAGGTCATAGTCTTGAAGCAGCAGCTCAGAGTCCTCCTATTTAGGAGACCCCAGGGAGAGGTAGGAGGCCTAGAGGGGCAAAGCTGTTTACCTTTAAGTCACTCTCCAGGATGTCCACAAACCCATCATCTTCCTCGGTAGCCCCCTTGGTGGGGGTCAGGGAGAAGGGACATGGGGCCAGGGGACTCAGCTCCTCTACCTCCATTTTCCGCTCTGGGGTGAGACACTGTGAGTGAGGAACAGACAGGTTGCTTAGGGCTGGGGATCCGAGGCAGTCCACACCCCATCCTTCAACTGCCTTGGGCTCAGGGTCACCTCCCCTTCCCCCAGGCTGTCTTCAGGGGCACGCCTGCCTGCCTGTCCAGCATTGTTCAGCTTTGTTGATGTACCAGTAGGTTGGGGGCAGAGCTTGGTCTCTGGGCAAAGGCTTCTCTGCGGCTGGCCCACTCTGCCAGAGCCTGGGTGTGGGTGGGCTGTGTGGGCTTCCATGGCATCTTGAAGACAAATCCATCCTGTGGGCAAGATCGGGGTGGAGAGGGGGCATTATCAAGCGCCACAGCAACACCCCAGCACACCCTCTTCTTCCCCTGAAATGCTCCCACTCCAGCCTTCTGGAAGCGCACATTCTCTTTGTCCTCCCCAGAGCTGTGGGCAGCTTGGCTGCATGCCTCACTCTTCCTCCAGCTGCCTGGTGCTTGGGAGTTGGTGATGTTCCGTAGCACAGGGCTGTGGCCCAGAAGCCTCACCTAGAGAGCCAGGTAGAGCAGCAGGTACTGAAGGCTGCTTTCCTTTGGCCCCAGCCCTACCTTCTCCCATTCCCCGGCTAACTCTCCCAGCTTGTCCATCCACCTCCAAAGCCCCGGCTCGCACAGCCAGATCAGGAACACCCAACCACTTCAGGTCCACCCTCTGGGAGGTGACCCCATATCCTTCCTGCCCCTCCACAAGCCTGGACAGAGTGCCGGGCCTCCTGTCAGGCCTCAAAGGGCACTCACTGGCAGAGACTGGAAGCGTCGGATGGCAAACTGCTCACTGCAAAAGGAAACAGGGACACATCAGGGCCAGAGAGTCATGCCAGGGGCTGTGGCAGAGAGCATGCAGGATGCCCCGCCACCAGAGCCCGGTGTACCCCTGTGCGAGGGTGTGGGAGAGTGTCTGCCCCATGCTGCTCCACCCACAGATGGAGGCTGTGGGAGCCTGCGTGAGGAAGGCTGCAGCACTTACTTTCGAATGACCCGGCTGGCTGCCTGGATGGCCTGTTCAAACCTAGGAGAGAGAAGGATCCCATGCAGCCCACTTCCCCCTACAGCCCATCATCCACTCCTGGTCCACAAGGCCTGGGGTCAGGGCTCAGGCCAGTGGAAAGGGGAGGTAAGAAGAAGGCTGACTCCCAAGGGGGCCCAAGTATTGGAAGGGATGAGATGAGACACAGCCTGGGTTTTGAATGGAAAAGGGCCCAGAGAATGGCAGCAATTGAGACAGCTGAGGCAGGTCACAGGGTGGCTGAGGTGTTACCAAGGCAACGGTCTCACCAGCCTGCCCACAGGCCTTCCACCTGTATGCAAATCACCTCAGCTGGGCCATATGGCCACTAAGAAAGGAATCCATCCATCCCATGGTGACAAACCATGGCCCAACAATGCTATCTCTAGGGCCTGGGATGCCAGCAAGGCTAGGCATCCCGCCCCAACCACCTTGTGTGGGGCTGTGCCGGCTCCCCACTAGACAGAGGCTTAGTTTTGTATGCCCCTGGATCAGCCCCAGTTTGCCATGCCAGACCCCCTACTGATAAATGCGCAGGGTCACATCCTCTCCTCCCTCCTGTGAAATTTTCCAGGACCCAGTCTCTGTCCCACTCCCTCCCTCCTGCCTTAGAAGAGGCCAGCAGGCAAGGAATTCCAACAGATGTTCCTTTTGAGACTGGGGCACAAGCTGCTGTAGATAGGCCCCACCCCCTAGCTATGTTCCCAGAGACCACCTGCCACACAGCTTTTGTGCATCTGTGTGCATGTGCATGCACACACACACACACACAAGCTTCTTTCTAGCTTCCTTCTGAGAAACTATGTAACCGTCAAGGCAGGTGCAGGGACGAGGCACTGAGAACTAAAGTGTCAGGGGACTGGTCCCCTACGGAGTGGTGGCTGTGCCCAGACAACCTGGCATCAGGGATGACCAATTTCATTAGCTTGGTTTCCATTCTACACCTGGGCCTTGGGGGTAAAGCAGGCACTGCTCTGTGTTGCCACCAAAAGCCAGCCTGCAGTCCCCTCCACCCCCACCCAGTTCTCTACCTGTTTCCTGTTTGTGAACAAATCCTGCAGCCCAGCCCAGTCTAATCAAAAGCAATGAGAGGAAAGATAGCCACTGCCCTAACTCAAAGCCATAGTCCCTTACCCCAGTCTGGGGATGCCCAGCTGTCTCTACTAATGCCTGGCAGCTGCTCTTCCTGCTGGGGCCTAACAGCTGGATGTGAACAGCTCTGCTCTGCAAGACAGGACTCATGCCCCACAACCAAGGTGGAGGGATCTGTCCTGAGCAGAGCCCACTGGCTCCCTCTCCACTTCCTCCACAAAGGGCCTGGTCCAAGGGTTGGCCAGAAGGTCAAGTGTCACTGAAGCCAGGGGTTGCTGACGGGATGGCTGAGGGCCAAACCAGCCTGCAGCAACTGTTTCGTTTGGCCTAGAGTGAATTAAAAGTTTTGAATTACTTGGGCCATATTTTAAAATTGTGTTATTTCACAGAAAAAATAGGTACATAGGCAAAAAAAAAAAAAAAAGGAACACACATCAGAGGTCTGTATTCCTACAAGACAAGGGCTGGCTGGAGTCAAGTATCTGCTGCTCCTAGCAGCCACCTTCCCCCAGCCCTGGTCCTGAGACCACTCTCAGCTGCTCTGTGACAGTAGACCCCTCTCTGAGCAGAATCCCAGGGACTTGTGAAGTCAATTAGTGTCCTCCCTGTGGGGATCTGGAGGGCTCTGTCCACTCCCCCATGCTTTCCCAGAGAGTTTATGCTAGAACTGGGTTTCCCAAAGGCAGCCACCAAGTCTTTGGTAATGGGGAACCCAACCCCTCTTCTCTACTCACATCTGCTCTGCCATCTGGGGGTCCATGGGGCTGGGAGAATCCATGCAGAGACCTGGGAAACAGAGAGCCTTGGTTTGAAAGTAGTAGCATTTTCTGCACACTTTTCCCTATGTCTCAACACTTATTCACAGAAGGAAAAAAATCGTGTTTCTATTTTTAGATCTTGACACATTAAAAAAAATTTAAACAAGACCTCACCCATGAATCCCAAGGGCTGACACACTGCCCCCCAAACTGTACAGGTCTCCACTCCCTGTTTACTATGGGAACTCCTCTCTATAGGTTTTTAAACCAAAACTTTGCTAAGCATTTTTCTTGAATTGGTTTAAAATAAGTTGTTGTAGAAGAGATAATGGCTTTTTAAAGGACAGGTTATAGCTGAAGGCAAGTGAATGTTATAAAATGACCAACTTTTGGCACTAATGCCTCCCAGGTGGGGCTGTGGTTCTCAGACTTTGGCGCCTAGTTTTAAATAGGTAAGATTTCATCTCCCACAGAGGGCCCCACCCAACCACCCACTCAGCCAACTGGGGCTGGGTGTGGTGAGCCCCACCAGAGGTGAGTGGAGGCAGGCAACTGGGCCCACCAGATTGTGGGAAGGATGTTAGTCTGATAGGCAGAGAAGTGGGGAGGCTCAGGCTGCCCCCCCAAATCCCCTGGCACCCCTGGGCCTCACCTGCATCAGAAGATTCAGAGGACTCAGACGACAGGGAGGATTCAGACGCCCGGCGGCGGGACAGGGATAGGCATGTGAGCAGGCTGCCTACCTGACTCTTTGGGGTCTCGCTGGGAAGGGAGCAGCGACCCAGGGAAGGAGAAAAGTCAATGTGGGGCTCAAGGGCTGGCTAGCCCCGTGTTCCCACCAGCTGCCCACCTCTGAAGGCCCCATCCAGCCTCTACACTGCCCCAGAGATGGCACTGAGGGCCTACCCTCTTCTCAGGCTTTCTGCAGAGGCCCTAAGTGTCTTCTCTTTGGTTACTAGGAAATGTCCTCCTGGGCGCAGGGGAAGGTGAGACGAGGGAAAGGGCCAGGAGGTGGGCTGGGGGTCATCCTGGGGGATAGTGGGCAGAACAGCAGCCCTGGAAGGCCATCCCCTAAACTCTTGGGACCCCTACCCATCCACTAGCCTTTCTGGAGGAGGAGCCAAGACTCAGGTCTCTATTTCTTAGTGTACAACCCAGCCCGAACCTGTAGGCTTGCCCAGGGAGCAGGACCAGCGTTTAACCTCTTAACCTCAGGAAAGAACTGGGGGAAGAGGGAGCCAGGAGAGGCGTGGACATATGAGGACCCGACTACTCTGTCACCCTCAAGATACCTCCAGGCTCAGGATCCCCTGCCTAGGGCAAAATGGTGGCGATCTGGGCAGAGATTAGGGAGGCAGCATGGTGGAGGCACCCTGAGAGAGGAGGGAAAGGAAGTACAGAGGTTCTCCAGAGGTTTATGCCAGCCAAGAGAGGGTCACCTGGGGGGTGTGAGCAGCACAGCCCTGGCCTCACTGCCCGGTCTCAGGCCCCTGCTGCCGGCTCTGCTTAGGATGCTTCTCATTCCGCCTCTCACGCCAGGTTCCGCAGGAGGCCGGGTTCCAACACCCTAGTGCGGGCCTCTCGCCCCACCCCAGACTCCTTGGGGCGCCCTACCTGCCGAGCACTGCGAGGTCGTGCATGGTCTGGGTGAGGGTGGTAACCGGCGAAGAGGCGGCAGCGCGCTCCGGGGAACCCTGGAAGCTATGAGCTCCCAGCCGGAGGCCGGGGAGGTGGCCCGGACGGTCGGCGCCACCGCGCACGCCAGCAGGACTGAGAGCCGAGCCCGACGCGGGTTCCGGCAGGGACAGCTCCATCGCAGCGGGGCCCGCAGAAGGCTGGCCGCGGGGCCGGGCTCAGGGTGACGCCGGCACAGCTGGCCTGGGCCAGGTGGGAAGCCGGCCCGGGGTGGAGGGGGGAAGGGAGGGAGGAAGAGCAGCGGGGCTGGAGCGAGGGAGGAGAGGAAAGCGGGGAGGGTGGGGAAGGGTGGAGGGACGTGGGGACCAGCTACCACTCCAGGAAGCCTCTAGTAGCAGCTGCCACCTCCACCTCCTTATATATTCGAAAAATAACAGCGGCCGCGCCGCCGAACGCCACCAATGGGGGCGCGAGTTAGAGGGGGCGGGGCCGAGGGCGGGGCCCACAGGGGAAAGGCGCGGAGGCTGGACCAACCCGGCCCCGCTCCGTGCCAGGCTTTGCTGGGAGGAATTGGGGTTTCCCCCACACCCCCTGAATCCCCCAGCCAGAGCTAGAGGATCCTGGCTTCCCAAATTCAGCTTCTCGAGTTGTGGTTTGGAGTTAACGTATCCACAGCAGAGAGGGCCCCGAGAAAGCAACAGCCCCCTTCGGTGACCTCAGTGAGACCCCCAGCGGCTTAACATCACTCGCAACCACCAGTAGGCACCGCGGGAGGGTCCCCTCTACAATTTTGCCAAAACACAGCTATGGTGTGCGCTTTGTGTTCGCCACTCTACAGACGCGGCTGTTGAGGTGTGGAGTTCATTAACCCGTTTCAAGGTCACAGGGTGGGCGGTTGTGGAGCCGAGATGCTCCTCAGTCGCCTTTGCTCCCGCAGCCTCTCTGCCCCGGCGACAGGGAGCGAGAAGCCACCCCAAAGCGTAATTCCCACACGGAACCCCCAGCACAGAAAGTGGACCTGAGATGCGGGCCGACGCGAAACTACGGGGCTCTACCCGGGTCTCCAGGTTAGATGAGACCCAGTTTTCTCTAGCAGCCCCAGAAGAGGCTCTAATGATTGGCCTAGCCCTGGGTTTTGCCGGTGGGGGCCGAAGAGGGTATTGGTGACCTCAGAACCCAGTTATGGAAACATCTCATGCACATTGACCATTTGGCCAATGTGATACCAATATTGTTTAATTGGTGTCTTTTTTAATGATAAGGGAGCCTGAATTTGTCACTAGTTTAAACTCAGTATCTTCTAATTATCTAATCACCTTCCAGCAAAATTGCTTTCCTGGAATGAGCACTGAAAGCTGCACCCCAAAGCAAATGGGTGGTAAGCAGCTTTTGCATCCTGTCTTCCCAGGGAAGAGGTGGCTTCCATCTGGGCCAGGCAGAGCTTGGGAAGACAGGAGCTGTGGCCTTGAGCCCCTTTCCTCACAGCCCCCACCCTCTAGCCAAGGCACAGGGAAGGGGGATGCAAAAGGAGGGCCTGGTGATTGGGCATTGGATGGGCCTTGGGGGATGTGGAGGAAGGGGATGGGAAGACCCCAGCCTACCTGAATGGGGTGATAAGGGTGGGGATCATGACTTTCTTCTCTAAACATTTTGCCTAGCTTCTATGCTGGGCAGCGCTGCAATTTCCTGTTCATCTACCGTAGGTCAAGGGTACAGCTCCAGACCTCCAGCTACTACTCATAGCCAAGGCTGTGACTGTCCCAGGCAGGGTGGAGGAAAGAGGAGACAGGCTGTGAGGCCTCCCATATCGAAGACCAGAAATAAAACTACCCTGAGGGTTGCATTTTCGAAATCAACCCAGCAGGTGTTACCCCCTCAACACACACCTCTGGAGAGTGTGTGTTGGGTGACATTATATTCTTGAATCCTTTGAAATCCCATAGTCAGAAGTCATGTCTGGGCCCATGAAAGGAGGCCAGGCCACAGAGGGCTCATTTCAGAGTGTCCCACGTATCAGCTATGTGTATCTTCCTTAAGCTCCTATTGCCAATTAGCCCGTAGATTATGTGTGCAAGTAAAAAACAGAACAAATAAAAACCTACTTAATATCAATAAGCTAAATAAATATTTGCAACCATATTCTAAGAGGAGCAATTCTTCCCATCCAGCCAGGCCCTGGTTACAATGACACTTCTGGACCACAGAAGGCTCCATCCTCTTATGAGAAGGAATGTCCTGACCCTAGACCATACACATCAAGCTCTAGGCTTGCTTAAGGAGATCTGGTGTGACCCTGGGGCCTTGGCAGAAGAGGAGAAGAAATAACTGCATGTGTGCAAAATCCTTCTGCTTCTCTAAGCCTATTCCCACACAGAATCTTCTTTGGGGACTAATTTTCTAGTGCCTTTTCTGTCATGGCTTGTGACATGTTATATGGTTTGTAAAAATTTGTACACAGTATGAAAAATTCAAACGAAGGAGAAAATACAAATGGTACAAAATAGCAGTGAAAAGTCAGTCTCCCACCTCACACAAACCTTCAGGACCCCTCCCCTGAGGCAGCCACTATTATAAATTTATTGCATATTCTGGAGATAGTCTGTAACAGTCCTAGCTAATAGAAATATAGTAAGAGTCACATATGTAATTTAAAATTCTACGTTAAAAAAGTAAAAAGAAACATGAAATTTTAATGTTGTTTAACCTAATATGTTCAAAATATTATCTCAAAATATTATCAGTATAAAAATTATTAGTGAGATATTTTACATACTATTTTTTGGTGACAAGTCTTTAAAGTCTAGGGTACATTTTACACTAACAGCACATCTCCATTTGGACTTGCCACATTCAAGTGCCCAATAACCACATGGGATTTGTGGCTACCATCGTGGACAGTGCAAGTCTATACATCTACAAGCATTTGTGTGCCCATATTTTTATAAATATACAAACAGTATAGGAAACATCATTTTATGCCTTGCTTTTTTAGTTTTACCTGGAGATGGATCCATATTAGTATCATAATGGTATATGTTTACTCAGCTCCTTAATTGCATAACATTTAGATTATTAGCTTTTACAATGATGCAGCAGGTATGCATAAAATAAATCCCTAAAGAGGAACTACTAGGAGGTATGGGTTTATTTATTGGTATCTCCTTTTCCCTTTTATGAATCTCATCTCCTCAAGATGATTGCGCTATTGACAAATAGGGACCAAGTCATTTATTTCTCTTTCCCGTCTCCCAGCACCTTGCATAGGCCCTAGTCCAAGGTTGGCCTCTGACCCTAATATCTCCCCTTCCAGGGATTTCTCTTAAGGAGATAATAAAAGTACACACAGACATATGTTTATTGAGTCATTATTAATAACAACGAAACACGGAGAGCAAGCTGGATGTCCTTCAATAGGGGAACAGCCAATAAGGGTGGTTCCTCTACACTGTGCAATACTTGCAGCCTTTAAAGAACAGGCATTTTGGGGTATGGATGCCTGGCATCTGGTAGGGGCCCGGTAAGTAACTATTGATTAATAAATGATTACATACCGGGCTCTTGGAAAATGGTCTAAGGGTTCCTAGAGTAAAAGAAGTTTCAAACTGCTGATGTATATAATTATTGACATGAAAAGATGTTCACAATATGTGTTAGAAAATATTATGCTAAGTGTGATCCCATTAAAAACAATATGCACAGTTAAGTATCCTAAAGGACACCATCAACAGAACAAAAAGGCAACCTACAGTATGGGAGGATGTATTCGTAAATGATTTATCCAATAATGGGTTAACATCCAAAATATATAAAGAACTCATAAAACTCAACACCAAAAAAACAACCCAATTAAAAAATGGACAGAGCACCTGAACATTTTTCCAAAGAAGAAATACGGATGGCCAATAGGCACACGAAAAGATGCTCCACATCACTTATCATCAGGGAGATGCAAATCAAAACCAATGAGATATCACCTCACACCAGTTAGATTGGCCAATATCCAAAAGATAAGAAATAACAAGTGTTTGTGAGATGAGGAGAAATGGGAACCCTCCTACACTGTTGGTAGGAATGTAAAATGGTGCATCCACTATGGGAAGCAGTATGGAGGTTCCTCAAAAAACGAAAAATAGAAATACCATATGCCCCAGTAATTCCACTCCCAAGAATCTACTAAAAAAAACAAAATTCCTTGAAAAGATACATGCACCCCTGTTTATTGCTGCATTACTTATAATAGCTGAGATATGGAAGTAACCAAAGTGTCCATCAATAGATAATGAAGATGTGGTACATATATACACAATGAAATACTATTCAGTCATAAAAAGAAAGAAATCCTGCCATTGTGACAACATGGATGGATCTAGAGGGTATTACGCTAAATGAAATAAGCCAGGTGGAGACAGACAAATACCATATGATTGTACTTACTTGTGGAATCTAAAAAAAAAAACACAACAAAATGAACAAAACTGCAGGTAGACTCATAGACACTAAGAAGTGACTGGTGGTTACCATGGAGGTGGGGGTACAGTGAGTAGGTAGGGAGGGTGAAGGGGATAAAGCAGCAGAAAAATTCTCAATCATAATATAAGTTGGTCACAGGGATGGTAATACAGCATGGAAAATATAGTCAGTGATTCTGTAACATCTTACTATGTTGACAGATAGTAACTGCACTAGTCAGGGTGAGGATTTAATTATATGGGTAACTGGTGAACCACTGCGTTGTATACTTGAAACCAATATAATGTTGTATATCAATGATAATTCGATAAAAAAGTGTCCTACAAGGATATTAGTTGAATTAGAGGTGATTAAAGGCGTTTATCCTCAAAATTTCCTGTATTTCAAAATATTTTCCAAAAAACACATACAATTTTTAGATTAATTAAAATAACATGATCTCAATCTGGCAATTCCTCAAATGATGAAACAGTTACCATAGGATCTAGCAATTCTACTCCAAGTATATACTCAAGAGAAATGAAAACATATGCCCACACAAAAACTCACACACAAATGTAGACTTAGAGCAGTATTATTTATAATTGCCAAATGGTAGAAACAACCAAACATCCATCAGTTGACAAATAGGTAGACAAAACGTCATATATCCTTGCAACTGAATATTATTCAGCTATAAAAAAGAAGGGAGTATTGTTAGATCCTACATTATGGATGAATCTTGAAAACAATGCTAAGTGAAAGAAACCAGTCATAGAAGACACATATATGACCCCATGCATACAGAATGTCCAGAACAGGGAAAAGTAGATTGGTGGTTGCTTGGGGCTGGGAAAAGGGTGAGAGTGGACAGGGAAATGATAGCTAAAAGGTATGGGGTTTCTTTCTAAGGTATGAAAATGTTCTAAAAT